ACAGGCTGTGGTCAACAATTTTGTGCCTTGGTTGGTGTCTCAGTCTCCCCCCCCCCACATACACACACTGGAACTCTTGTCTGGTTACAGAGATGGCTGATTCAGGCTCCATATCCATCTTCCTTCACTAGGAGTCCTCACTAGGGTCAACCTCACAGGTTCCAAGAAGTTTCCATAGCACTTGGTCTCCACTCAATGCCTAGATGTCCACCTATTCCAGTGTCTCCCTGTACTGTCTTTCTCTGTCCCTTCCTCTCCCACTTGATCCGTCCTGTTCCCATCCCCACACCACCCCGAGTCCACCAATAGATAAGGATTGTCGTACTACCATCCACAGACCCAGAGAGGCTAAGTAACAAGGAAGGCTGGGGCGGTGGTGGGGCACATGGATCTCCCTGGAAAAAGGGAAATGGTCTTATTTCCCTCTTAGAACACATTCTCTTCCTTTCTCCTTCAGACCTCAGCCCAACTGTCACTTCCACTGGCCACACTGCCTCACCTCAGGTTAAACCCTCAGTTTACATGCTAACACCATAACCTCCCTTGAAGGGGTTTTTATATTCATCTGCCTGGTTACGAAAGTAGTTTCTTCTGTTTCCCACACTGTATGATAAGCTCTATGAGAAGGGGAACTCTCTGTGGTTTGTCACAACGCTGAATCCTCAGCCTCCTGAGGCCTCACAAGATACTTGAGTTTTGACTTACCATCAGTGGTTCCAATCCATAGTCCTTTGCCCACATTGCCTGTTGAGGCACATAGTAGAAGAAGCTGCTTGCATCAGGATTGCTGGAATCCCAACAACCCTTGCTCCCAGTGACCTTACTTTCTTCCATAGCCCCACCCCAAAAAGATTCTACCACCTCCCAATATCACCACAGGCTGGGGACAAGCTTTCAACATCTAAGTACTTCACTGACACTCAAGATCCAAACTATAGCTCATCTTAATCATTGTCTGCTAATGAATCAGGGAACCAATGAGCAAATAGAAAAAATGACCAGCGAGAGTTGAGTTAAAGGTTTTCTCTAATTTGAAAGTGAATAAAGGCTGCTGTGGCCTGCTCGTATGACACTCCACTCTGCTATGTAGGACAGAGTCAAATTACTCAGAAGCAAGACGTGTAATGCATTTTAGAGCAACAACAAAAGGAAAGCCACTCAAGGCAGGGGCTCATTTTACCACACCGCTCTCTCTATGCTGAATTTTTATTATTATCAGAAGCACAATTTGAAGCCAGAGTGACACTTCTTTTAATTTTCTCACACTGGTAGTCATTGATCAGCATTCATAGCTTGAGAGGAAATGCCATTAAATTCAGGAGGGAAGTATATTGAACCTGCATGGCATTCAAACGCTGCTGGGCAGGCTCAGCTACCGGACACTATGCCAGTGACCTTGCTGAGCAGCTATGTTAAAACTTAAATCTATAATTTTCTACTGGAGCTTTTAGGAAAAACATTCTCTTTCTTTTCCCCCCACATCTTTCAGCAAACCTCATTATCCTTCTTGTGACCTTGTAGGCATCTCATTTTCTTTTGGCTTGTTTGCAAGTGTTACAATATTAACTGCATCCCCCCGATTCAGGAAGCGTTGCCTCATCATTTCTACCTTGAATAAAGGAATTTCATGTATTTATATAAAAGCCAGTCATAATTAAGACCTCTTATCTTTGTTTTATACAGTAATTGTTATTCTCATGTGGGAGACCAAGGGTAATACACATGGGAGACTATGTATTAATTTTTAATAATGTTGGGAGTAAATTAAAATGAGGTTATACTGTGTCAGTCACTGTGGAATTGGGGAATGGAGTTGGTGAGTTTTTAAGAAATGCAGAAAGGAAGAAGGATAAGGTTAAAGCAATGAAGAATGGACAGTCGGCCTTATTAATGATTTTTAAAAATTATTTAGAAGTCTATAACAGTGAAAACTCTGCAGCTGATTGAGGCCTGTGACACAGTGAAACACTGAATAATCATGATTATAAGAAAATCTATTCTGTGACTTAAAAAATCATTGCTGTGTAGTAAATCCAATTTCATGTGTGTACTTCTGGGCAGAAGTCAATATTGCATGAAATAACACTGCTATTCTTTAGAGCACTGAAATATTATATAAAGAAACACAGAAAACCATTTACCTCTTTTAGTATTTGGCAAGGTGGGTTTTAATTGTGGGGTGTTACATAAATTTTAATAGGACTTCTCAGAGCCATAATGTATTAATGAGAATCAGGACTTATTTGTAAGAAATAGATATACTATGCAGTGGCCTCCAAACTGGTTTGAAGATAGTATCTTCATTTTCTTGTCTTCATGGTTGTATTTCTGTCTATGGAAAAATAATGTGAACTTGTAAGACTAGTACAGCCTGGAACACAGTATGAAAAAAAAATAGACTTTCTTAAAAAAAAAAAAAGTAGGTAGATCCCTAACAGAAAGAATTTAGATACCTCCACTTTCAACATTTACTAAAAGCTTCACACTGAGAAATATTATGAGGCCCCAGAGCCTCTTCACCTCACCAGCATTTCTGATGGCCAAGGGTGATGAAAGATTGAAAATATGGCTTATCCATGGAACACATATTGATCAACCATATAAAGGAATGAACTACTGATACAAGGCATAATGTGGGAGAACCACGAAGACATTATGCTAAATGAAAGGAGCCAGACACCAAAGGCTTGTATTACATGATCCCAATTATAGGAGGTTCAGAGCAGTCTCCTATCGACAGAAAGTAGATTAGGGTTGCCTGGGGTTGGAAGGAGAATGAGAGATGAATGTTAATGACTGTCCCCTCCACTAGGTGACAATCTGATGTCAGACAGTGACAATGGTTTTACAACATCATGAATATAATATAACTCACTAGATTACTCACTAGTGGGTGAATTTTAGTATTAGTATATTAATTTGTTTCAATTAAAAAACAACATAATAGATGATAACAAGAATGGAGATACCCTAATAGAGGGAGATATTTTTGGTTTACAGAGAAATCAGGCACTAGGGAAATGTCTGGAGATCTACAAAGATGACACCAGCTAACAATCTAAACAACAGAGGAGAGGCTACCTTAAATGCCCTCCCCTGATAATGAGATTGATGACTGACTTATATGCCACCTGATAGCCCTCATCCAGCAGCTGGTGGAAGTAGAAGCAGACACCCACAACTAATCACCGAACTGAACTGGAACCCAGATGCAGAGAAGGATGAGTGAAGAGCACAGGAGTCCAGACGAGGCTGGTGAAACCCACAAAACAGCTGACCTGAACATCGGGGAACTCTTGCTCCCCAGACTGATAGCTGGGATACCAGCATGGGACTGTTCCAGACCCCAGGAACATGGGTTTCTATGAGGAAACCTCGGAAATCTACGGGACCTCCTGTAGAAGTTCAGTACTTATCCCTAGCATAGGTGTGGACTTTGGGAGCCCATTCCACATAGAGGAATACTCCCTGAGCCAAGACACACGGGGGTGGGCCTAGGCCCTATCCCAAAGGATATGATAGACTCTGATGACACCCTATGGAAGGCCTCACCATCCAGGGGGAGCAGAAAGGATATGTGATTGGTAGGGTTTTAGTTGGGGGTGGGGTAGGGGAGGACAGGTGGGAGAAGGGAACTGGGATTGTCATGTAAAACAATCCTGTTTCTAATTCAAATAAAAAAAAGTCAAAAAAAAAAAAACAACAAAAACAAATTCAGGTTGGGTGTGTGCTTAGCATGCATGAGGCCCTGGGTTCAGTCTTCAGCACACACACACAAATAAATAAATGAAAAAACCCAGCACTCACCATACTGGAAGGTAAGACTTTTTGCATCAAAGAAACTGACAACACAACTATTTCTTGTCAAGTATATTTAATGAAGATACTGGCTGTTATTTACAGAAGAGATATGTACATACAATTCCTACACATTAGATGTAGTCTAATTGTGAAAAAAGAAAAAAAAATGTACTCCAAAATTTCATACTGAATAAAATAAATAAAAAGGAATATTTGGCACAATGTCTATAATGTAGCAAATAAATAACTCTATACCATTGATCGCATGACCTATTTACAATCTATCTGAAAGTGCAAAACAATTGCTGAAAATTAAGACTTTTGTAATAACATTTAAGTCCAGAAAATATGAGTTTTTTCATCAGTATCAATAAATTTGTAGAGGAAAGGTTTTTAATGCCCAGGAAAATATTTCAATTTTGAAAAACGTTTTGTGCATATTGTGCTCTTCTGAAATGTTATTTTCTATCTTAACGCTGGCAATATTAAGAACCTTAGTGTTTCTTAGCAGAATTCTTACATATGTAATCCTGATTTGTAAATTTTAAAAGTTACAATGTAAACATATTATTCTATAGATCATTCAGAAATTACAGACCAAATAGCCATAATGTTTCATAGTATTGTGGTGAGGTGCTACTCCTTTCGAGGTAAGACTATGAAGATGGAGGAATATGACCTATAATTTGGACTTTTATGGTTTCCTCCACACCCTCCCCAGACCCCATGCCCCAAATCAAGGTGCTAAGTAAAACCAAAAAAACATTCCATTATATCATCACCAATGTATCTAAGTCAAACCCACTCATGGCACAGTCTCATCCTGCAAACAGCCTGGAAAGGGATGTCAGGGGCTTGATGTAGGCCTCACCAATGTTATTTCTTCATGTGAGCCTGTGATGGCATGGCTGGAAATGAAGGAGGGTGGCTATAACAGATGACTCCTAAACTACAACATGTCAGCATCATACAAGGCAAATCACTTCCTCTCTCTTGGTATGGTTGGATAGTTGGATGTGGCCCTGAGACGGGGGAGGGGTCTCAGTATGTGTCTCTGTTCATTCTCAAGAATTCTCTAGTGGCAACACAGTCAGTAGTAGCATACACGGCAATTTTTTTTTTTTGAAAGATTGTGGACTGGAGACAAAACATCACTCTATGGCCTGCGAGGCTCTAATCTGTGTGACATCTGTGATAAAGTTCTCTGGTTGTCAATCACATTTAATTGCCGTACATAACTCCGGACATCCTGATGGTTCTTATTAGCTTGAGCGGCATCGGGATCTGTTAAAAGAATAGCAGGCAGGGTTGGCGTTGCACAATATCTGCATGGAAGATGCAGCTTTATTTTCCCCACTGACTTATCACATTTATCATAGATTCCCTGGGCTCTGCCAAGACCTTTCCACACACCACATTCACTGAAATATTTCTACTTGGTTGGTCCATCTGCTGCCTTCTACCCTCCGATTTTCTTTTCTTCCCTGGAATCATCTCTTTTGATCATTTTTCTTTGGATTGCACGCTGAAAAAAAAAAGGGCACCAAATAAAAAGGGAAGCATCTGTCTGATGGCCCTGGTGACAGATGAAAATTGTTTTCCCTTCCTGGCCCACCTCTGTGTCACACTCTGTCTCCACCTCCTTTGATCCAGATGAGGACTAGTGTCAAAGATATAGTTTCATTAGCAACTCACAAAAGCACTTAACACCTGGACTGAACTGAAGGGAGCCAATGGGCATAGGGCCCCATAGCCCCCCTTTGCTTACAGCACCATTTTAACTGTATGCCCGCCCCTAAGCACAGTCTGGATTAGGCAAAGCTACCTTCTGGCTGATGACTTCTAGTAAACTTTTCTTCTCTGACACAACTTGCTCTGAAAGTCTGCTGACCATTCTATTTTGATCTATTGATGTGAGTACCTGGGCTGTCAAAAACGTAAATGGATTTTATTCAAACCAGGATTCCAAAAAAATCTATGTCCATAGTCGAAATACATAGTATATATAAGAATGAGGAAGGCCAGATTCAACAGCAGAATGGAAAACTGGAAACACAGTGCCTTGGGAAGTGGCCACCTAGCTCCTGAATGCCATCACCACGTAGGAATCTGTGTCCAGAATAGCCAGGTCCTCCCTTCATTTCCTTCCTACCTTTTTCCCTTCTTTCCTTTTGAAACAAGGAATCTGAATTTCTCCCCTGTAAATTTCCCTAGATTTTAAATGGCGACTCCTCCATATGAAGGAGGGCAGTCTGTTTATGGTGCAGCCCACGGGTCACGGACTGTCCTGGGGGAACCACTCTTTCCTCTAGTTTACACTGGAGGGCCAAACTGGACTCTGTTCAGAGTTCCCTCTTCTCGCCCCCAGAGCTGCCTTCTGAAGTCCGGTTGCTCCCCTTAGATCCACCCACTGTTCCACCAGACAATCAGAACGCCATCTGCATCCAGGGCTGGAGGGGAGTGAAGCAGGTCTGAGCACAGAAGGCAGAGACAAGCTACAAAGGCCCCTGCTCGCCGTAAGAAGAAACTCATCAGTATAATTATCACATATAAATAATACCACAGTGAACTACGGAACACATTGTGCTTAATTTCCCCCCGCATCCCACTGGCAGTGTACTCTGCATGTACAATATACTGTAATTACATTGTATACATCCCCACAATGTTTATGAATCTATTCCTATAGCTTTATCTATAGATTGTTGACTTCAGAGCCGAGCAGCTGTTGTTTACCAGCAGTTGCTGATAAGTTCAACAATGCACTGCAAGTTAAAAAAAAAAAAAAATCCCCTCACTTCTCTCAAAGATAGCGAAGAACGAAGAAAGGAGACTTTACTGCCAAAGAAGCTGTGAAACAAAGCTGATCCTACTATGGCTCCTGTTTGGTTCTGGAACAACAGCCCCTCCCATCCTACCCGAACCGTTCCCAAGGCTCTGAGCCCTCTCCAGCACACAGGACTTTGCATGTAATTTGAGAATGTTTGGGAACCCTCTGAAGGGACATGGGTTCTGGATTGTAAAGCCTGTCGTGACTGGTACTGTTTCTCCTTGTTTTCAGCCAATTTGTGGCCATGTCTTTTACATACATAGTAAATTACTATAGGAAAGGATGTGAGATGCTTGAATTCTGGCAGAATCCATGTAGGAAGGGTTGGAAACATACAAGACTGCTCTCATTTTTAGAAACGAGAGGGCACCGTTGTTTGAATTAAATTTTTAAAAGCTCTTCTCACCCCCTAAGTCAAGATTATTTTCTCTAATTGTTTTTTTTTTTTTTTCCTCCTGAACATTAAGAAAAAAAAAAGAAGAGTGAGTAGTTCTGGCATTCTATGTTAGCAAGCTCTGGCTTTGGGCCAGATCGACACTACAAAGAGCATACCACTGTGATTATTAAAACAAGAACCTGTCAGTCTCTTCAGACAGGATCTACTGGAGAGGACGGTGAGGTAGGCTGCTGTCACATCTGTGTCATCTCATCGAGGTGAGTGAATATGCCAATCCTCTCACATGACTCACATAATGACATTAGCACAAAACTTCAAAGGGTTCACTGCTCTCTCCCAAACCAGACCAAAGGAGCAAAGCTCTAGTCCTTATCCTGAGTCCTAGGCCAGAAGAGACAGCAGCACCGATGTAACGTGGCCAGCTGGTATGACAAGGAAACTTGACAGTTTAAAATGGCCATTTGTTAGTAGTAATATTTTAGACCTATGAAAACATAGCACTGGTGTTTATGACATAGGTTCAACGTTTGAAAGAGTACCTGGGAATACTAGAAACGTTATGCAGAATCCTGCCAGGGGACATTTGCAAATGTGTTATAAATATGAATGCATTTTCGAGGGACAATAAATATTTTCTTTATCGGTTTATAAACGATGGCACTGACTCACCAAGGGTTGCTTAGTTTCTTGGCATTAGCACTGAGTCACACCAAGGGTGGCATGGAGCCTGGTGTTGGTGGCGCACACCTTTATCCCAGCACTTGGGAGGCAGAGGCAGGCAGATCTCTGTGAGTCCGAGGCCAGCCTGGTCTACAGAGTGGGTTCCAGGACAGCCAAGGCTATACAGAGAAACCCTGCCTTGAAAAACAAAACAAAAAAAGAAAGAAAAGAAAAGAAAAAAGGGAAAAAAAAAGGAGTGGCACGGAGGCAGGCTCTCACAGGCCTTTGCAACCTACCTGATCTAGCTACACTGGGTGAGCAAATGAATTTCCTTCCAATTCGCTCATTAAAACAATATTCTGGCCCGGATTTTCTTGTGTTACAGTAATGCAAACATATCTTATTCTTATTAACAGCAAAACAAAGTTCTTAAACCCAAGGCACATGTGTGTTTCATGGTCCAAACTCCATCTGACACAGTCAAATGCTGTCCAGACTCCTAGAGTGTCTTGAAAGTCTCGTTAAAAAAGACTTAATCACACCATGTCCACGACAGCATGCAGTAACTCAGAACTTACTGAAGGGCTGGCTCCTGCAGTACCGCACTGTTCTGGCAGTATTTGCAATCATGCGCTGTAAGGAATAAGAAAAGAAAAGGGAAATGCAAGTCAGTTTAGTGTGTAATCCCCGAAGGGGGAAACCATTATTTATTCCAGCAACACTTGGTATCACAGGAAACAGCATGTTCTGGCATGCTGACATCTGAAGGCAGCTGGCTGATGTGTACCTTGCACAATGACGTTAACGAGGCATCCTAGTACAAAGCATTTGCAGGTAACGCATATTCATGACTTTATGACACAGCTCTTTGTCTCACTGTGTGACTGCTCTTCACATTGTAAAAGTGTATCTGACACTGTACTTTGATGCCGAGAGACTGTTTCCACCGTCCTTTGAAACTGTCTTGGATCTGAAGATGGTTAGCTTTCAGGTTTCTCCTAGTTAACAGGCAGTGAAGTGGTAGATCACACTGTCCAAACAGAAAGTCCAAATATTCCCCTAATAATTGTTGCCCCTCATTATGTTTTCCTGACCTTTTTAGTCCCAGCAAAAGTATTTGTTTCAATCCAAATTCTGTTTTCCTTCATACTTTGCTTTTACCTCCTTATTTATAACACCGCCATAGTGTGTGTGTGTGTGTGTGTGTGTGTGTATAGTTTATTTTGTTTGTTTTTGGTTTTCTGGGACAGAGTTTCTCTGTGTAGCCCTGGCTGTCCTGGAACTCCCTCTGTAGACTAGGCTGGCAGAGATCTGCCTGCCTCTGCCTGGGATTAAAGGCATGTGCCCCCACTGTTTGGCTAGCCTTCTGATATTTTAAAAATGAACATGCAACTGCATTTAAAAAGTAAAGTCATACTCTGTATGTATGTTTTGATTTTGGTTTTCACTTTCACATTGCATTGTGATTATTTTCCTTGTCGTTTGCATTTTAAACAGTCTCTAAACAGATTATATAACTCAGTTGGTCTTTGTTAATTTTGTCAGTAAGCGATCTATCTCAATTTCCTTTGGTTGCCATGAAAACTTCAAAGAGCATTTTCGTGTGCATTGAATATAGACACAAAAGAAGTGGAAAGGCCTAGGGAATGTGGCTTAGTGAGAAAGTGCTTGCCGAGCATGTGAGAGACCCTAGACTGGAGCTCCAGTATGGAAAGTCGAAGAGAAGGACAGACTCCAGTATCATGACGGCTAGAAACAGAGACCTCAGACTCCCAAGGAAAAACACCAGGGAGGCCGAATCACAATTCTTTGGCCAGGATGTTCAGGTTTTGTTTTGGTACTTTAGCAGTAGCTTGGGTTTAAGTCCCTGAATGTGTTTCTGGACTTTGTTTCTCTGATTCTGAAAGGGAACTCTGTGGAGACCATGGATGTATACATAGTCCTATCAGCAGAAAACCCGAGGGTTCTGCCCAGGAAAAGCAACTCCCCGATTTCTAAGGAGCTATGCAAATCCAGTCCCCACTTTCATCTCTCATAGGCCCTTGGTTTACTAAAGTGTAAGAAAATGACTTTGAGGAGATGACAGAAGGGTCAAGGCCTTTGAAATGTGTATACACAAGCCTCACGGTGTACTCTTCCGGCTTGCTTCCATCTGCAGGGTTCTGGCAAGCGGGATGTCCTCACGGGATGCTTTCTCACACACAAAGGGCCATCAGAAAAGTTGTTCAAACTTTACTTTCATAAAGGGTCCTAAAAGCCATCAGGACTGTGGATCAGCAAGAGAAATAAACTACAAATACCTCCAAGGAAATGTAGCATACAATGTATAATTAGCCTCTGATATATGGAGCCCCAGAATAAACAGTAACTATGATAATTTCCCTGCTAATTTACTTTAAGCTGTTTTTTCACTCCTCTAAAGGCTTTGCATCGGAAGGGCACAAGTATATTCCATGTAGAATTATTGTAATTCTTCAGATATTGAATGGAGTGTAATTACCGAAAACCCCATGAAATGCTGCCAGTATGCCCCTCTGAAGAATAATAAAACAATTAGCAGGGGTCAGAAACCTCTTCCTATACCATTTTGTATGGAGTAATTGTTCTGCTTTTTAGTTTTGAAAGATAAAACATTCCATTCTGACTTTAGTTTTAGACTACTCTTTATAGCTATCCTCTGAGGCTTCATAATTTTTAGCTCATTATGTAGTTTAAAATGTGAGAACAATTGTTCAAATCCGTAATTTCTAGCCCCGAAGTTCATTTTACCTTTCCAAATCTTTGATTAATTTTAACAATGGTTTTAATTTTGACGTATCCTTTTAATTGTATTGCCAAGATAACTTCAGCTTAACTTCAAAATCCAAATTGGGCTTTGAAAGGAGGTCCATTCTTTCCCTATGTGAGGTCCACACAATAATGTTTAATGGTGTGAACTCAGTGATGGGAAGTGAAGGCACTAACATTGCTGGCCAGTGTGCTTATAGAATATTTTTCTGGAGGCCAAAAGAAGGGGGGTTAGCATGATATTTTAGCTCCAACCTCTTTTGTGCCCATTGACACGTGCAATATTTAATATGCTACTGAGACTCCAGGAATCACTCCCGAAAACCATCTCCAGGTTGCAGAATACCTTCTGTAGTCTGCCTATAGAGAAGCCATGACTTCCCAGCATTTGAGTGTACCCAGCAGGGGGGAACACATCACCTCCAAAGTCAACCTTCTCACTTATAAACATTTCTGACTTAGAAGTTTGATGCTGGATGGAGTCAAAAGTATTTCTCCCTTTCCTTCTCCCTCAGTGAACTCTGCAACCTCAGCAAATAGGTTGGTTCCTCCCTAGGTCTTCCTTACTCAACCTAAACGCCTTATTTGTTTATTTTTTTTTTTTAAGACATGGTGTTTCTCTAGTAACAACCCTGGCTATTACGGAACTTACTCTGTAGACTAAGCTACCCTCAAACTCGCAGAGACCCACCTACCTCTGCTTCCATGCACCTCCATGCCTGGCTATTCAGCAGGTTTCTTTTTCTTCTCTTTCTTTCTTTTTTTTCTTTTTTTCCAAGACAGTATTTCTCTGTGTAGCTTTGGAACCTATCCTGGCACTCGCTCTGTAGACCAGACTGGCCTCAAACTCACAGAGATCTGCCTGCCTCTGCCTCCTGAGTGCTGGAATTAAAGGCATGTGCCACCAATGCCCAGCTTATTCAGCGGTTTCTTAAGGGACAGTTTTGTCTCTCCTAGCCAGTATCTACTGTGACATCTTAGAGCATAGGAAAGAAATTACTTCTTCCCTCCTTTCCTTGATCTGGTTGAGTTATACATATAAATCATAATCTGAATGAGATCATATAGCTGATGTCTGCTGGACTCAGAGAATTAAACCTTACCACCTGGTTGACTGTGCTGCTGCCTGGATTCAGACCTCTGCTCTGTCACTGTACAGGTGATTTTAAGGATTGAGAAAGAGGGTTTTACGTTCATCTTCACTAAAAACATATCTAGTTAGTCTTTCTGTCTTTTGTGTTCCAAAGACCTCGCCCCATGTGTCATCTTTGGTGGCAGACAAGATTACTCGTGGTTGCACTCAGCTGAGGCTGGCTGAAACTGAAGCTACAGAGACACGGGTTTCATTATCCAACTGCCATTGGGAAGGGAGCAAAAATTTACTAGATTTGGAGGTCTTGCCAGAGCAGGTTGGCCTGGCTAGAGCTGGCCAGGTAACTCTTTGTGCTGCCAGGCTCGGGGAAACACTTGATCACTCCAGAGCAGAGCACCAAACCTCTTTTTCTATCCTGGCAAAGCCAGGGATTAGGACTCCTGTTAACAACCGGCTTAATGCCAAAGCAATTGGTAATTTGGGGTGATTGTGAGAACACCTCCCTCAGAAGATGGTCCAAGTTGGTGGGTGGACAGGCTGGAACCTCATCAGAAACCCTGGAATGATTCTTGAGTTTTAGTGCAGGCCTTCGGGCTTGTTTGCACACCCTGTGCCTTGTTCGTATAGTGCCCATGGAGGGCTGAGAAAGGGACCCAACTGAGGCTGAGGAGTTCTCCCCAGAATGTGCATTTGTAGAGCGTTCACAAAAGAAAACGGTGGTGGCACATGAAAAAACTCTGTAGTCACCTACTCTATAGGTATTTCTTTCTCTTTATAACTGAAGGCAGGGCCTCAGGAACAGATGTCCTTCCTGGGGCCCAAGAGAACAACATGGATGCTAACTGTGCCCATGCATCACCTCTGGAGTCCCTCGAGCTCCAAGGTAGATATTTATTCTCAGATCCAGCGAGTGGTGAGGTACCTTGGTCATGGCCTCAGCCTCACCCATTTACCAGCCTGTGGGCCAGCCTTTTTGGAGCAGGCTCACCCAACCAGGTCTTCTCACTCATATTTCCATACACAAGTGGACCTGAAGTTATCAGCCAGACCTCTATGCTTTCCAGTCTTCCTAGTTTGTTCCTACTGACTCTTGGTCCTGCCCAGACTCCCCACTCCTTGTGTTGCTGAGGAGAGGCAAGCTTATGTGTCTAGTGTTCATCAAGTTCAGACTAGCAGGCCTCCAGGCAAGGGCACCTGACACTGTTACAGGCTCAGACAACACCAGTACAGCTTCCCTGGCCTTAGGCCATTTGGCTTCTCAGCTGGAAGCTCCCTGAGGAACAGCTCCTGGGAATCATGCCCCTTCTATCAAGTGTCTGTTGGAGCAGTTTTTGCCTCTCCTTCTGTTGACTGCTAAGATCTTGGTCCTTCTTATTCTTTTTATTTTTATTTTCAAATAAGATCTTGCTGTAGTCCAGGCTGACCTTGAGCACATGACCCTCCAGTACCAGGATTACAGATAGCACCACTGCTGCTCTTGTTTGCCAGACTCCTCTTTCTCCTCTGACATTTCTATTATGATGCTTTGAGTCTCTCTCTGTCTCTATGCTTATCCAATATAGGTCCTCTATCAATCCTTCCATGTATAAATAACATAATTTATACTTAAGAGTTTCATTCAGACTGCTACATCTTCTGAACACATTTTCTCCCATTAGAAGGTACAGAAATATATAGTCTCTCTTCTACAAAGATTTTATGCCCATGGTAGCAACCTCTGGTTATGTACAGTAAGGCCCAGCTTCCTGGAACTCAACAAGCATTTGCTGTATGCATTCCTGAAGAAGCCTGAGCTTTGTCCCCAGCAGTGGGTCTTTGTTATCCCAAGGCTCTGTGACAAACACACAATTAACATACATAACATTCATAGTCTATTGTATAGTCTGTGATGTCATGGGACATCACAGTTGGGCATCTCTGCATACCCTGAAGGAGACTGGAAGGACACTGAAGGACAAATGGAGTACCATGGGGTGGGGAAGGGGAAAAATAATGTCCATTCAGGAACAGAAAGCTGAAGGAAAGACATCCTGGGTCAAATCTCAGCTTTGTAAAATGCACAACATGGACACCTTCATTAATTCAATTTCTAAAAAGTAGAAAATGCTTTTGGATATCATTTTTGTCATAGAATACTTTCCAAATGTCCTTCCTTATTAAGTCCAACACTGTAATATCACTGAATCATTCTTCTATTTAATGAGTATTTCTTGCATATGTAGAATATGCCAGACACATTTATGGATGTCCATGAAACATCAGTGGACAAAATAGACAAGATCCCTGGTCCACGGCTCATGCCTTCCAGTGTGGAAGACAGATGAAGAAAAGCAAAGATGAGCATCTTGGATCATAAGAGCAATTCTCAAAGCTGGGCCATCAGTCCCTTGATGTGAGTGAGCAATGGTAGATGGGGAGTCAAGGGTACCCACCCAGAGAAGAAGCATGGGTTCAAAGCCTGAATCACGAAAAGGAGCCAGACATGAGAGAATCAGAGAGAGGAAACTCTCAGGCAAAGGTGACAGCTAGAACAAAGGACCCGAGGCTGAGAGAGAAACACAGAAGGTCAGTTGTGACAACTTGGGTTGTGTTCTGAGCTGAAGTCTGAGAGGACACTTGATGTGTACTTAGGGTAGCATGGCTGGATCTTATCATGTGATTGTATGTAGTGCAGTTTTCCCTGCTGCTGACATGGTTGCAGAACTTCTTCCCCAGTAGCTTCTTCAGTGCATGTCTTTTACTGCTCTCCTGAGCCCTGTTTTAATAACTTGTGCTATCTTTGTTAATTTTTAATATTTCATGTGTTTTTATCTTACCTTTATAAGAACATATATTCTAAAGGACAAGGACTACTTTGTAGGGTTTTTTTAAATTTCCTAGTGAAATCCTTTGCCTGGGCAGTCAGTCTCATATGTTCTGTTGCTTTGAAGCATGCTCTTTGGAAAATCTGCATTTGTCGTGGCCTGTGAAGTCTATGGAAAGTCCCCAAAGTATCCCTATAGATAGATTTCCTTTGAATTGAAAGGGTCTTGGGGACCAGGCAAATTTGAACACTTAGATTTTTACCTAAAGATTCATTTTCCATAGCTCCAGGTAGCAAAACCAGTGCTCGCCAACCACATTTTAGGATATTACTGCTGTTAGAAGCCACACTGTTGCTAATTATATAATGGCATGCCTAGAAATGCCAAACTGAAGGGATTAGAAATATTTCTCTTCCTTAATAAGCTTCTGTTCATGTTTCCAGAAGTCCAGAAGTTTCCCCCATGCTTCTCATTCCAGGAAAAAATTGACTACTTCAAAATCTTATTCTTAAATAAATATACCTAAATATGGCTATGTCTGAAATAGAACCAACCTTCCAGCACAGCAGCAACTGTACCTATCAGCGTGCCTTCTGCAGCTGGGATAGTGGCAGCAGGCCAGCATGTTATCCCCTAATCCATAGTTGGTCTACCTTTGAGTGTTATAAATATTCATACATGCCATAGAACGGTATAAAGGGCTTTATTCAAACATTTTTGAATACCCCTTTATGTTTCCCCCAAATGAAAGAATGCCTGAGAATTTTTTTTTTTTGTACAAGGATCAGGTGTGAGTTCTCTTTTGTTCATACTCACAGATCCTGAAAACCAATATGCAACAAATTCTCTAATCCTCAATTCATACGGCAAGGGTGAAGATGCTCAAAACAAACAGACATAATCTTAGCGCTGGCATGCTGCCTTGCGAGGCAGCATCCCTTGTGAGGCCGGCATCAGAGAATGGCACTGGTGTCCCTGGCTACCCTGGTGACTTCTGCCCCTGTTAGGGGTTCCTACTAAGGACAGAGCCCAGCAGGTTCACACACATGGCCAACTCTGCTCACACCTGGTCCTTGCTGATGGATGACTGACAGCAATCGAGAGAAACGAAGACACAACCTTCACCAAGACACATAAGGTGGATAACGGTGATGGTGGTGGTACCAAGAGGAAGGGTGGGCTGGTTGATGGGAGAAAATATTGGAAAGTTAGCCAACACTGATTGATCAATGTTGACTGATAATGCCATATTGATCAGTCAGGTTTAGAAAGCCCATCAAGTATTTTTGAAATTCTATTTCATTTTCTAGTAACATCTAACTCGTGGAAGGGCATTTCTGAAATCAAACTGTCTGGTAATATGATCTGTCAAATAAAATAAAACTTAGAAAATTGCCCATATAGAGAACTAAAGGCATTTTCCAAACTCTCTCCGTCCCTCTCTTTCACAGCAACAGATTAATTGTTAATGGGGCACACTGAACCCCCCAGGCGGGCTACATTTTCTAGTTTTCCTTTCTTATGATGATAGAAGTGGTAAGTTTCTTCCCTCACCTTAAGGGGAAGAAGCACACCTTCTCCTTCTTCATGGCTGGGACATGGATGTGATGGCATGTCGTCATGGACCATGTGAAATGCGATGAGAGCTGAAGCCAGGAACCTCGACTACTCCTCAGAGTGGAGCTGCCATGCTCACTCAAGACTTAGAAGCGAAAAGGAATAAACTTAACTGTGCTTCTAAATTATCATAATGGCTTTCAAACCATTATGAGTTTAGGCTTGTTTATTGTAGCTGCAGTGCTAGTTTAACTAATCAGTGGCTGTTAAACATACATGTCTGCCCAGAGAGCAGAACAGTCAGGACCTCTTGCTTACTGCCTGGGGGGTGCGGGAGAGTTCAATGCTGTGCACCTGAGGTACAGACATCTTGGGTCATCTTGACTTCCCTCTGCAGGCTACAGGACACTAGAAACTCAGAGCCAACTCTCAGCCTCCCCAGTAGATGACTGGCTCAGAGCACAATGCTGTTCTTGCTTACTCTGGACCACGTAGGTCACGTCAGCAGTCAAAAGTTCTAGGACTCTTCAGGGAATGCTGGGTTTCACATCTCTGCCCCCCTATATTTTATATCCCAGTGGTTGGCTTAGCTACTTCTTGGTCTTAGAATGTTCTGCATAAGTGATTCGGAAAGCACTTTTCCTATTTGCTCAATCATCCACTTTGGAAAAACAAGCATTTGTCTTTCTCCTCGAAAACACTGGGGAATGTTTAGCTCTTTACGCTAACAAGTAAGCAAAGAATCACTGTTTGCCCATGGGTGCGTGTCTTTGAGGGGTGTGTGCTTACAGTCTGTTTCTTCAGAAGTTTAAGACAGTGGACTTAAACTGTACTTCCTAATCATAAACTCATATGAACAGGGCTGAGCCCTAACCCATAGACAGTGAGGTTTTTCAAATTCTTCTGCAGACATACACACTATCTTGATTTCAAGAAACAATTAGAATTACGGGTTTCTGATAATAACTCTGCAGTACTTTCTGCGGCATAGAAGACTCATGCACCATGGACCATCCATCAGCCTAGAGGTGGCTAAACAGTCATGAGCCCCATTTTCTGCTGGGGAAAGAGACTCACACAGAAGATGAAGATGAGGAACAAAAGGATGGAATTGAGTATTGACCCAGTGTCTCCCGAGTTCCAAATCCAGGGCCACATTCACACTGCAAAACAATCTTGGGCAAATGCTTACCCCTTGGGGAAATGAAGCTCTGCTACTCTGTTTCCCCAGGCTACATGCAGCCCTGGGGATCCGGAGACAGAGTGGCATTCCATTGACGTGGACTGTGTGCTAAAGAAAGGCTCTGGCGGGGCCTGCCTTGTTGCTTCACAGACGATAAGAACACAAACTGCAAAGTACCTTTGCCAGACTCTTCTCTGGATGGGGGTGGGGTGGAGGAGAAGGGGCTGGAAAGCAGTGAACAGCAAAGTGCCAGTTTCACGTTTGTTACTGACAATTCATTGTTGTTGTTGTCGTCGTCGTCGTCGTCGTCGTCGTCGTTATGGAGATCTCTGAGTCTCCAAGTCCCCTCTCTGAACTTGAGTGAACTTTATGAGACTAAGCAATACACACTTAGATTAATAAAGATCGGCTGTAGCATTGCCTTTTACCTACACGCACTCAAGTCAGCCTTGGCAGATAAACATTTCAAAGGCATCCTGGGGCAGTCTAGCTGCACAAACCTTACAAAACAACAAGAAACCCAGAAGTCACTCTTGAACATTCATGCATTTTAACAACAGGCAGCAGAGGGACAGAAACACAGGGGCATAAAAGCTAACGGCTGCTGTGAGCCAAGGCACAAATACCATTCAACTCCACAAAAGAGAACTGACAGCAAAAGAGGGAGCCAATTTGAACCAAATGTTTCAAAACTCCATTCTGTATAACTACCTTTGTAACATGGCAGCACACACAGATGTTATTTGCCTTATTAGTACAAATGCAAATTTTATTAAAAAAAACATTGTGGTTAAGGTTATAATACTGCACCTACCATTTTTTCAAAGTTTACTAGATTGTCAATGAACGTCTTGTTCCCCTCATGAGTAAATGTCATATCTGTAAAGAAATAAAAGCCACATTCTAGTCACTAACCGAAATATGTCATACCAAGAAAGTACAATAGCACCATTAGCATATGCGGGTAGATTTGCATAACACTGCCGTTGAAAAAGCTGATAATAGTTTCTTTTATGTTAGGTGTTTAACTTTCTAAATCACTTTACCTGAGGTTAGTAAAATCTCTAACATAAACCCTTTTCACTCACAAGGCTTCAAAATCATAGGCTTTTCATACCACTACCTCCCTACCTTCCAACCCTTTCAGGACACTTGGGCCCAAGAGCAGGAATCAAAGGAGGCAGAGTCTTTTTGCCAGACAGTCCTCTCGAAGGGTGTCATTCATCTTCACCCCCAAGTGCTCCCTCCCACCTGGCTTGGGTGTGCCATCAGATTACCTTTAATAAGCAAGGGCATGAAAGGGATGAGGGGGGGATCCAGTTTAGCTGCTGTCAGCCTGTAGGCCCTGTGGTTTCTGGAAGGATCCTTGGGAGAAACAAAGTGTTGCTGGTCAATGATGAGAGATACATACCACACACACACACACACACACACACACACACACACACACACACACACACACACAAACACACCCTTTTAACCTCTGAGCACATATAGCCTTGTCATCCCACAGTCAGGTATTTGGGGTAAGATGAAGCTATGGAAGAAAGGCAGATTTAAACAGGTTTGATTGGTTTTAAAACAACATCACGTATGGGTGAGACAGTATTGTGCATTTGTTTCCATTCTGGCTTGAAGGAGCCTACAGGAGCCAAGGGGAAACACCCCTCTGAATGCAAAACTGAACTGTGTAGGACAAACCTCTACAAATTCCCCACCCCTGAAGCCCCACCTTCTTCCAAAGGTTGGCTGACTCCCCACCCCATCCTCTACCTTACATAGCCAGTCCTAACTTGCCCTCTGAACCATGCCCTGCCTCCCAGCAAGACCCATTCATCCCTTGCCTGTCTGGTAACACCTCCCAGACAACAGGGAGACATAATTTTGGCAAGCCAAGAGATGTAGCTTTCAACCCATAGCCAAACTGAGCTGTGTTAGGTAGGAGCCCTATTACACTGCTTTTCTAAGTTACACAAATTGACCTTATGTGGGACATAAGTCCTCTTTAAGTTAGCTCCTGAGGGTGCCATTCATTAGTCAGGCATGCTTGTTTTAGCAGCACTAAAAGGGATCATAAACTTCTTAAAGTCAAACAAGGACAGATAAAATTTCTGCAATGAGAACTTGAGCTAATCAGAAATTGGATTAATGTGGACAGTGAACAGAATAAAGAAGCCACTGTCACTTACCATTAAGCTTTCAAACTCTGCATAGAACTTCTTAAACTTGCTTGGCAGTTTCTGTTAATAAAATGAAAATGACACACACAGCTGTCAGATTCTATATCTAGATATGGATTGTGTGTGCTACCATTTCTAAGAAAAATCCATTTCTTCTGGCCTCCAGTCAAACACCTCTGGACCAGGATGAACTACTGTGTGCCCTGTCACTTGAGAATAATCTCTGGAATACAGAGAACTTGCCTTTGAAAAGTCTTACTGAAGCTGAACTCCGAGAAGCTGTGACTGCTTCGGCCTTACTGCTTTTATAATCTATTCCTGACTGGATAGTTTTATAATCAGGATTGCCTGTATTCCTGAGACTACAAGTGGCCTGGACCCTCCAAACCCCTGTTTCTTTAACTCTTTGATTTCTCCAATTAGACGTTTAGACTGAAGAATGTTAGGATTAAAAGAATTTAGGAATGACGAAGCCTTCCTTAAAAAGAAAGCCACATGAGAAAAGGGCCTTCTGACAGTTTTTTCTTTTTAGTTGCTTTTTTTTTTAACTTGTATTTCCTCAGTGCCCAACAGTGATGAGGTACTGAGGAACTTGGTTTCCTTTGAATAGTTGAAGCCTGTGTATTACAGATGGGAGGAGTTAGTCTCACAGCCCTAGTGTCCCTAAGCCATACTGGTCATCCCTGCTCCTTTGGTTCACAGTCCCCGCTTGCTTTTCTGTTACTTCTCTTCTATGCTCCAAGCTGCCCTTCCAAGCCCTTCCTTGTGCATGGTTTCTCTGCCTGGCTGTAATGAAAATGTGGGAGTTCTAGCAGGATGCTGTCCTCTTGTGTCAATGGGTTATGCTTGACAGCACCACTTGGTGCATCTGCTGAGAGACACCAGGAGATCAGTGCCGGATCCCTTTTCAATCCACTGCTTCCCAGTTTGTGGAGTGTTGCTTTTGGAAAGCTGAACTTTCTACTGACAAACCCAGATGGAGCAGAGCGGCGAGTGAGAAAACATCAGCAGTCCTGAGACCTGGAGAGTCCCAGTGGCCCTGATCTGCTCAGTGAGGTCCACCTTCTACCCTCCACCACCCTCCGCAGTCTCAGAAAACTCCTGCCTATTCTCTGGTGTTTGGTCAAACCAACATATTCCCATTTAATCACCTGTAAAACTTGTATTTTGTTTCTGGAAGCCAGTGCCTTGACATCCTCCACATTCCCTACTACCCATTTTCCAGAATATGGGAAATTATCTCTCAGAAGACAAATTTGAGGCTGAGATCTGTGCCAGGCATTAGGGGTCTGAGAATGCCACAGAGTATCACTGCACTGGGTAGTAAATGCAGTCCATTTTAAAAATTAGACCTTTTTGGTGTTGGGCACAGCAGCACACACCTTTAATCTAAGCACTCTGGAGGCAGAGACAGGTGGATCTCTGTGAGTTCCAGCTAAGCCTGGTCTCCATTGTATGTTCAAGGCCAACCAGGGCTACATACCCAGGACTACATATTGAACAGACCTGTGTGGCTTAGAACATTTGTGTCAATGTTCATTGATATAGTCTGCTTTTAATCACACCTCTGTCATCCTGGCTCTCTTAGCCAGATTCTCAGACAAAGGCAACAAGCATTTCTGCGGTTCTCTATCTACACAGTTTCCAAAGAAGTTTCTTAGTCGGGACCATTAGCCATTCTGGGGGATGGCTAGGAAAGTCAGCAGGCTTCTTTTGTTGTCACGATAGTGGGGTGGGGGTGGGGCAATAGGAAGTGCTACTGAAATATAGCGGGTATGGCCAGTTGAGGCAGCTCAGCACCGTACAACATCCAGGCTGTCCTCCACTACAGGGATTTGTCCTCCCAATGTGGCAATAGGTCAAGGCCCACACCCTCAGTGACCTCCCCTCAGATGGGGGTTGCTCCCCTGATTCCAGCTTCTTACCACAAGCCTTCTTATTTCCCCCTTTGCTCACTGACTGTTTTACAGTTGTCCTACAGTCCCCTGAGACCATGCCCTATTCCTTACACTGCTCGTGTGTCCACTCTAGTGCTCACCAGAGCTGTGTGAGAAGCCCTTGGGAGGTCTTCATCAAACACAAAGAAATAATTCTAATCAAAGATGCTCATGAGTGAAAGTTCTCCTTACAGAATTACATAATCACACCGACTCAAAAAAGAAATGAAGGTTTATAAATCACAAAAAGGCTAATCTTTCTGTCAGAGACATACAACGACAGAAATAAAAGTTCATAGACTCATGGCACTCTTACACTGGCCAGTTAGCCAGTTAGATCCTCCCTAGGGGGTCTCTGTGGCAGCCTAAAGGGCCCAGGCAGTGCTCTGTCTCACTATCTGGTTGCTGTTCCTTGGAACCTACAGCTGGCCTCCATGGGCCCTCAACAAACTGTAGAACTTTCCTTTCTTCTAACCAACCCATTTGGACTCTGTGTCGGGGAGGGGATCAGGAGCCAGAGGCAGGCTGGGGAGTGCAGACTACCTGAGGGGAACCCTGGGTCTCTAGAGATCTTTGGAAGCTTGGGCCGTGAGATAGGGGCACTGCAAACCGCTTCTTTGCTTGCTTATTATTGGCACACCAACTCTGTTCTTCCATGGGCTGGAAGATGATACAGCTGCCTGGCTTGAAGGCCTCACCGATTCCCTCATGCCTATATTCAGGGGATGAACTGTATGCTGCATCTGCCTGGAATTTTAAGGGAAACTCAAGACAGAGGACTTGTGAGGACCTGCCTTATAAACAATGGGAATATTTAGGAGAGTTGGGGGAAGAAAATACTCTCAAGAGGGAAATGGATAGGAAACTAACTCCAAAGGGAATGTGGATGCAAACAGTTGCTACTAAACACCCACATGGCAAAGTGGGGCTCTCAGATACTGCTTGCCTTCTTTTTCTGCAGTCCCTCATACACACATGCTTATGCATATTTATCAAGAGTTTATTTTTGTGACTATATTCTATTGGAGTTTAGTATTTCTCTAACTATGTCACATGTTCGGGGATGAGCACATTCTGAGTACTAAGCTAATGACAAATGAAGGTGTTTTTGAACTGTCAATGAATCACCATCCTGTTTGTTACAGAAATTCATAACGCACCTTTATAACTTTAGCTCCAAAGACAATCCATGCCAACTGTTGCTCCTCTCTGGAGGGAGGAGTCACCAGGTGGTTATGAGACACCCGGTCCTCAGCTGCTCCCAACAGTTGGTCTCTGGGATGTTTCTCCCAGAAGCAAAATGACTACTTGGATAAAATGGCTCTTCTGCTCTCTTTCAATCATAGGCAAGGCTCGGTGCAAAAGCAATAAGCAAGACTGTTTGGAGACAACTGAACCTGTGTGCAAAGTGACTTTTGCAGCCATCTGAGCAGAGCTGTTCCTTCCTGTCGCATGTAAGACCTGCATTTATGATTATTTACATTGCAGAGATGGGAAAGCTAAGGTCCCCTGCCACCCCCCCTACTGCCCCCACCTGGACAGTCTCTTTTTAAACTCTCACTACAAGGTAACTAGAAAAAGGAGACAGGTCATCTCCCTCCGAGGGTCCCACCTTTCCCATTGTTCCACCAGTGTGAGTGCTATTTCTATAGACAAGCTCACTGGAGGGCCTCTGGTTTTATTCCTAAGGCAAAAGTCACAGCTGGAATCCAGCAGCAGCTCACCTCCCAGGTTAGTGCCAATCGGCTCACGGCGACATTACTGAGTCCCATGATGATGGCGAAAAAGGAATTTAGATTTTTGTACTCCTTGCAGCTGAAACACAAGAGGTTCGTGTTTAAGTAGAATGCCACTTTTGCTCAAGATTTAAAAAAATAGAGTTCTATTTGCTGATAGTCATTAATATTCATCAGGACTCGTTTACACGAACTGGCAATGATAGATTCAGGGCCCTGTGGAAATTCTGCTTGGGTAGCCATGCTCTGCTGTTTGACACCCCACCATAGTTTTAGAAAGTTGATGGTTTTGGCCATTGAGGTTTGGGTTTTGAGAAGTAATTTAAATTCACCTCCCCAGAGGGTTGTTATTGTAATCCTAAATTTGCTAAAAGCTGTAGTGAATGTGGAGGGGGTGAGGGGAGATATCCTATGGCATTGGAAAGGGGAAGGCAAAATGTTGGAGAATTTGAGAGACCTGGAGGTGGATGCTCTGAGCTGGCTGGTGGAAGAAGTTAAGGATGTCACAATGCTGCGGCCACCCTGGATCCTGCATGCTACATCAATGACACTAAATTGTTGAAAAGTATCAGCTTACAAGGCGTGATCCTGGAGGTTGTTCTCCAGGACTTTGAAGTTGGGAGGTAATTTATTGCATCAATAACAAAATAACCTTATTTTCTGTTGAGCTGACATTAGGGAGGTTGATAATCTTGAATCTGGGTTTATGCCATTATGAGTATTTATAGATCTACATTTGGGAATGAGGTACTTGGGCCAAGCCTAGAAATTCTTATTAAAATGGTGATATTATCCCAGGTACTTGGTATACCTGATGGCAAACAACAACCACCACACCCTAAGTTCTTCATGCCGGGCCCCTAAAAAGGGAAAGCGTTTATTTCATAATAAACACAAATCCTTCACCACAAATCAACATGGTCATCTAAGCTGACCGGCAACATAAATGTTTGAATAAACATTTTTGTAGAAGGCTCATTAAGTGGTTGCTCTGGCTGCTCATATTCAACTCAAAAACTAGCAATGAGCACTTTTCTACATGTCTGTGGAAACGGGAAAATGCACCTTAGAGGAGCTACAGTATGTTAGATCACACATGAGAAAACAAGCAAAGACAATATAATGCCGGGGTAGTGGCTCCCAGGTTCAGGGCTAATGCCACCACCATGTACATATCCTTGCCTTTGTCTTGTGCAAGTGCCTGTGGGAGAATGGCCCAGAGCTCAGACCTGCTCTGTTACCAGCTTTGCTTGTCATTCAAGTCAGGAGATGACTGCATGCCTCAGTTTCTTCTCATGTGAACAGAAGATAAAAATGCCTACCCCAGTCCTGCTCCTTCAACTCTGCTAAGCTCCTACCAGGGCTCCTACCAAGAACTTAAAGACAATGCTGCAGCTCTCTAAAGCCAGCAGGCCAAATGGCATCACCCACAGCTTTCTGTTTCATTCTTGTTAGAAAGCCCATAGTCTTTAACAGCTGGCTGAGTGAGTAAACAGGCTCATTACAGGACAGTGGCCCCAGAACACTGCTGAATAATGGCTAAATAATCAGCTGAGGTAAAGACAAGGCCAAGTCCACCTAACTAATCAACAGGAGTCAGAAGGAAGAGGGGTAAGTTACAAAGGCCAAACATTTAAAAACATATTCCTGAGTGTTTTGAGAGGCCCATCTGTGTTACCTCCATAAAACAACAGGCAGGCCCCCCCTTCCCTCCGGGCTGCACTTGGCACTGAGGGCTAAGGTGAAGAGGGAACATGCTCCCTGCCATGGGAAGGCACACCCTGTCATAGTTTCCATAATCCGCTCATTCCAAACACATGAAGGCATTTGCTCACCGCACAGGGGCTGTTCGTGCTGCTAGGAAAAGTGGCCACACTCGACTAAACCTTCCTTCAGACAGCCAGCTTTTCCAAAGAAACAGCAAGCAGCACGTGAATTCAAAGGACCTGGTATTCTATTGTGCCCTCAGCATTTTTGGCAAAACAGCTCAAGGCATTTGGCAAGCCAGCACCTATAAAACACCAAGTAGCTTTTCCTTCTTTGTTTAGCTCTGGCAATGAGACTCCGTGTGGGATCCGAACTGTTTGGCTCAAGAAAATTGCCTGGCCGTGGTCACTTGTTCTCCCAACCTTCCTGAGCTCGGGCTCTGCATTTAGAAAGGGAAGGAGTCTCACAGCCACAGGCTACATTTAGCTTTTTTATTTTTAGTACTGTGGTGATACCAAAAACATGGAAGTAAACAGGAGGTCGTCAGGCGTATCTAAATAGCCAGAGAAGATTAAATTCATGTCAGGGAGAAACCTACCTAGCCCCTGCAGTAAATAAATTGTTTCTCAAGAAGTCTTTTAAAATAGAATATTTATAAGATGTTTGCTTTCTCTGATGTGTATGGAGATGATTTCCTAGTACCAGGTTAGCTGGCCTTTATGCATTTTACTGATTTTATTCCGGCTGAGTTGGATAAGCTGCTGTTCCAGTGTGTTCTACTGCCCTCTACTGGTGAGAACGTGTCATGTGGGACACCGGCTCCAAGAGCCTTACAACAGAAGTTTCTGCAAAGGGAACATTTGTTTACTTAAAGCACTCTTCCAACACAAGGAGGGGAAAAAAATATGAGGCGTTCAGAGAAAAACCGACCCCGCTTTTGACTGGAGCACCTGTATTACAAGATGTTAATTTATATAATGATGTTAACCTTTAGGAAGTCAGAAGACGGTCTTCTCCCCACGAACTCAGTTGCTGGCAGTTCTTACACCCTGCTTTTCATTTTAAGGCGTATACCAAATGAACACAGCTCAAAGACTATTTTTCCCCTCCAAAGTTAAATATACTTACTGAGCCGCTATCTTGATAAACTTTTTCAAAAGCTGAACACGCTTGCTGAGCTGGGAACAAAGGCAGATCTCAGTGACAACCCAAAACTGAATTTCATTAAATCTCCTCAGGAACAAATCCAAGTTTGCTGTGGTCTTTTTAAAATTATGCCTTCCAAATGTGTGGTAGATTAGCTCCAGCTAGAACAGAAAGGAAAACAATTTCACTTATTTGTTGGCTTTTAAATCAAAACGCCAGCCTGGCTCCTCTATTTGTCAAGAAAGCGTTCTATCGAGCAGCAGATGTGAATTCAACCACTAACCCGGATGTGACTTGTCATGTAGATTTGAAGGGCCTTCATGAGGCTTGTGGAATATATAAATATAAACTATGTGTTATTGGCTTAATAGACTCTGGAAGACATAGCATAGCATCACAGGGATCTTTTTCTTTAATACTTGAGGACTTTATAAGCTCGGCATGCACAAAACCCATCATGTGGTTTCCATATGGCAGGCACACAGAAATGCAAGTTGAATGAAGCAAGCAGACCCCCTCCAGAATCTTATGGAACCCATGGACGTCCCTTGCTGGGCACCTTACCTCATGCACACAGTTGAAGAGTTCCCAGTCATATGTTGTCATCTGGTATGCCAAGTCTTTCGAGCTCATCAGTTCAAAAGTTCCTACTGTCCCAGTGGTTGGGCCTTCTTGTTCTGGCAAGGGAGTCTGGGAATAATTGTGAAAAACTGGATCAGAACCACAAAAGGGATACATGTGAAATGCCAAATGCTCTCAGGAGTTTTTGATGGGAAAGGATTTGGGGGAAACTTTTAGGCATATTTTGAAATGCTGGTTTTGAGGTTAAAAGAATGCCTTTGTTGTTTGTTGTACTTGCTTCAAGGCCATCTTTGTCATTACCATCATCACCACCACCACCACCACCATAATCAACTGCAAGCCATGCAAAATAAGACTTGGCAAAGGATGACCTGGGAAGGTTCTCTGTTGTGTGATATTTTGATCGCTTTCTGACAATAAAGCTTGCTTTGAATAAGAGGGTGGAACTAGCTACTAGCTGACCAAAATTAACCATAGAAGTTCAGGAGGACTGAGGACAGATAGAGAGACAGGAAGCAGTAGGGCGGGGCTTAAAAGGGTCTCTGCCTTTTGGATGGAGGAATGAAAGAGATAAGAGGTCACTGGTCACTTCTTTGCCACTTCTCTGCTCATTCAAGTTCTTACAGGTTCTTACCCCAGTATCTGACTCCTGAGTTTTCATTGATAAAGAATAATTAGATAACACTTCCATTCTCCTTTGCCTGGGGCTTGGAGGTACCTGAAAACTCTTCCCCTTCCATAGTAAAGATGGAAGATGCTCTTGGAGACCTTCCCCATGGAAACTGTTATAAAGCCAAGTACTAGCATGGGAGTTTGAATTTCTATCGAAGGTACCACTTAACTGCTGTTGGTGATTGACGTCAAATTGCCACAGCCATGTCTTCATATACAACCTAAAATGGTGACATGGTGGAGAATGCTGTGAACTGAATCTACACAGGATTTCCAAGTCCCTAATCCTCTGAGAGTTACTGGGCTGAGAATGCTATTCACATGTTTGGGGCAAGCTCAAACTCTGCTACTTTGGCCAAAACTCTTGTTGAAAGTTTTCATTTGGTTCACTTATCTCCTTTTGTACTCAAAGAAATACTCAATAAAGTGTTTTTTCTTTGTAAGGCAAGTGACAAATGTATAATACCTTAATGCCTATCCATAAGACTGAGAATATATAGTGATGAAAAGAATATTTGCCAATATTTGGATAGTCTATGTTCATGTCACAGGGCTAGGTTCAAGGCTCTTGGCTCCAGCCCCAGCATTAATAAGGAAAGGGGCTCATGTTAGAAACACTAATATTATACAGGTTTCATCAACATCTCCATTACTACTGTATTCAGTAAATGCCCCCGTGTTCTAGACACTGAGAAACTACATGTTCAGGGTGTGGGTGATTCCTGCATTGGAAAGCTCAGACTGTGAGATGAGCAGTTTACAGTATGATAGCACTGCCTTCCACCAACAGGTGCAGTGCTCCTTGTGGATACAGGCCACTCGCTGGGCTTCATTTGCACATCTGGAGACAGAGCATCAACAGACTAGGCCATGAGGTACACAGACAGGCAGGTGGAGGCACCTGAAGGGACCTTTTGAAAGATGCTGCCTACTTGGAATCGGTGTGTATGGAGGAGTAAAAGAGCCCGTGAGCAGCAAGTGAGGAAAGCTTTGCTCAGGATGGCCGTGTTGGGCTGATAGCAAGGACGGCTTCAAAGTGGGGAAGCTGCGAGGAGACTTGATTTGGAGGAACAGATTGCAGAGAGGGACCAAATAACAGCTTTTTTTTATTTTTTAATTTGAATTAGAAACAAGATTGTTTTACATGACCATCCCAGTTCCCTTCTCCCTCCCCTTCTCCCCTACCACCTCCCCAACTAAAACCCTACCTATCGCATATCCTTTCTGCTCCCCCTGGATGGTGAGGCCTTCCATAGGGTGTCATCAGAGTCTATCATATACTTTGGGATAGAGCCTAGGCCCACCCCCGTGTGTCTTGGCTCAGGGAGTATCCCTCTATGTGGAAAGGGCTCCCAAAGACCACACCTATGCTAGGGTTAAGTACTGAACTACTACAGGAGGTCCCGTGGATTTCCGAGGTTTCCTCCCTAAAACCAAATAACAGCTTTTAAAGAGTATCTGAGCAGCAGCTCAGGAGATGGGGTTTGTCACAAGCAAGGTAATAAACCATGTTAGTGACAGCCTCAGAAAACAGCAGACTGAACATAAACCCCATTATAGCAACACATTGCTTGAAATGATTCCTCAATTTTTTGACGGTCCAGCTCCAGGTAACCTGGGTTATACTACCTAAGTTGGCATCTTAGGGTATTAATACCCAGGTTTGTTAAGAGTATTAAATGGGAGCAATTTAAGTGCAGTATGTAAACCAAGCCGATGGCACAGGGAGGTCCCCTCTCTCAAAGTAGGTCACTTTCCAGAGGGATTACAGTGCTACAAATGCACAGGAAAGTGTGGTTAGTGTGACACTCAGGTTAGGGGTTGGATATGAATCCATGCTGCAGAGCGCAAAGAACAAGGCAGAAAGTGACAATTCCAAACAGACCTGAAGCTAATGGGCCAGTAGATGATAGAACCAGGTGAGGATGGTTTCAGCCCAGGGAAGGTTTCAGTGGAACAGTGGGTGAAGCTTTTAAATTCCAGGTGTTGGGACTGTGTCTCAGGTCAGCTTGGCTCTCTGCAGTCTCCCTTCTCTCCTGTAGCTGCCGCTGTGAGCACAGCTCCTCTGCTCCATTCTACAACTGCCCCCACCCTATTCACTGAGTCTGCTTCCTCCTTGAGGCTGGAGTGACTCCATCTACCCTCATCTCTAGTGCTTTCCTTGAGGTTTTATGGTGTCTGATATATAGGACTACTTAACCCAGCAATTGTTGTGGATTGCAACACTGGGAGATGGGAAGCCCTTTTGGTAGTGGATGTTGGACTGTCATCCCTACATCACTCCAGGATGTAAAACAAATTCCTGTAGAATCTCCATCTTCATTTGGGTGGGAATACCAGACCCGCCTCATGCTTCTTCAGTGAGCAGCAACAGTGCCTCTCTCTGAAGTGGGGGATTTATATGCTGAGCCTGGACCCCATAGGAAACACTTCCTTGTGCCATTTTCCTATGGCAATGTCCTGCTGGTGAGGCACTGCCGAGCTTATGTGGGATTGCACAGCACAGGGGGCTGAGAACTCACCCCTAGAGTTCCCTCCTCAACCTTATGGAGAGATGACGTTTTTTACTAATGCTGGCAGAAGGCAATTGGAAGAATAGCATCACCATGGTCTTATATCCAGAGACTTAACATGTAAAAGAGAGTGCTAATTGTCAGTGACAAAGTGATGGCTAAGCAACCTACACCCAGCATCCCTCTCTGCTTGTGCTACATGCCCCCCTCCCCTAGTAGAACCTGTCACAGTGGGTTCTCTCTGATGACACAGTCATCAAAAGCTCCTTGAGGAACATGATTCTATGAAGGGTTTGTCTTTGAGACTATCCCACAGCCAGAAACATCCACAGAACATGGAACAATGTGGCAGATACTGAATAAAAGTCTAAGGAACCAGTGAGTGGATAAAAGGAAAGCCAAATTACAGTACACTGAAACTTTGTTGTAATTGGCTTTGTACTAACATTTATATTCAAATACAATTTCAAGAGAGTAGAGCTCCTAACTCCAAGCCCTTCCGCACTGGGATCTATGCTGGCACTCTACTTGTTGTAGACAACACGATTTACCACTAAAGTTCATTTTCTTCTGGACCACTTGGGTTGCTCTCGTCCTAATTTAACTGTCACTGGCATAAGGACAGATGCTCCAGGGCACTTCTCATGTTGGCCACAGAAGCAAGCACAGCACTGAGCGCTTAGCAGACACTTGGTAAGTGTGCGATGATAGATCTGAGGGTTCGGTCCCCATTATGCACAGCGGTCCTCTGGACCACTCTTTCGAGAAGGATATCCTACAAGTCTGAGAAGGGGCTTCAGGTAAGGTCTGACCTCAGTGAGCACAGAGAGGTACATGGCGCCCCCAGCTGAGAGGTTCATGTCCAGAGTTCTTGTTGCCAAGCGAATTCCTTCCAACCACTCAGGCCTTAAAATGGAAGATAAGCAAGAACCCTGAACTTGGAAGCCGAAGGACTGTGTGCAATAAACAGAAGCTTAAAAAGTTAGTGTCTGCCCCCAGGGAGCTGGAGACAGTCCACATGCCTATCTCTCCACCCACTGGCTCAACACAGCCGCCAAGAACCAGCTGGCAAGACAGGCCCCAGCACACTGTGTGGCAAACACATCAGCGGGCACCTTCGATGGAACATCAGCGACACTGGCTGTTTAAGGCATTAGTTTCAGGACAGGGTAGCTGGACACACAGCAGTTTTTAAAAATGATGTGTGTATGCATGATGTGTGGGGGCAGGGGAAGGGCAAATGTTTCATGGCACCAGTGGAGGTCAGAGGACAACTTTGTGGAATCACTTTTCCCTTGCTTGTGTGGTTTCCTGGTTATTTATTTATTTCTTAATTGCTCAATGTTGAGAGATGTTTATTCAGAGAGGAATGAAGGCAAGTGATTAAAGAAACAAAAAATACACAAAATGGACGGTGGCCCTGCTGACATTCCTGTGCTGGGAGCTAGGATGAGGCTTGATTAGGGGGAATCAAAGGCACTATGCCACATTTCTTCTTCCTTAAGTGAAAGCAAGATGGTGTCAAATGAGCTGTCCCACTCGGTCTGGTGGCACATACCTGTAATCCCAGAACACTGGAGACTAAGGAATGAGGATTAAAACCTAGCAGAGGCCCACTCCTTTAATTCTAGCACTTGGGAGGCAGAGACAGGTAGATCTCTGAGCCTGAGGCCAGCCTGGCCTACGGAGTTACAGATAGAGTTCCAGGACAGCCAGAATTACAGAGAAAACCTGTCCCCCCCAAAAATTCAACAACTTCCCATCAAAAAATAACAACAACAACAAAAAACAAAAATCAAAAAAACAAAAAACCCTAGGGGTCAGCACTGGCTACATAGCAAGACCACATCTGAAAATAAATAAATAAATAAATAAATAAATAAATAAATAAAAGAATGAATGAAACCCATGGCCTTCCCTGAAGCAGGGACCAGGGTCCTGATCAGACAGAACGAGCTCCATCAAGATCTGAAAGTACATCTCCGTGCAGCGCTGGGAGGAAGCCCGGGCTTCACATGCTGTCAAGGACTCTGACCACACACTTTAACCTGACTCCCTCCTAAAGTTCTAGCAAGGTCTGTCTACTAAGGAAATGGAAATGAAATGTCCTTCAGGTTACCTCTCATTCACATATTGTATTTCTTTTTTTAAGAAGAAGAAAAACAAGGGAACCCCATGGGCCCAGACACAGAGGAAACTGGCTTTGTGAAACTAAAACTGGTCCTGTAGCTCCTAAACTACTAGCTAGTCAATGCCACACTTGATTTTTATAGGAGAGACAGAAATGAATGTGTCTTTTCTTCACAGAAGTTCTGGGTGGCTAGGGGAAAGTGTTCTGACCCCTGGTATCCCTGTGAAGGTCCTGAGAGTATCTGAGGGATGAGCCCTTCTAGACCTGATGGTGGCCCTGCCTCCTGACCTCCCCCAGGGGTTTCCTAATACTGGTACTTCCCTTACAAGCCATCATGGCCTTCCTGATCTGAGCATTCCAGTTTCGAACATTAATACTGAACTTAAAGACATTTCAATGAAATGAACCACAGCCAAGGTTCTGAACTCTAAACCGTGTCCCCGTAGCAGTGCGGCTTGGCTAATTTCCATGGATCCTGTAAAGCTTGGGATATCTCCCGTGAGCACCTGAGGCTTTCCCAGCAGACCACAGTAGAGAACAAACCACATAGCAGTCAAGAATTTTCAGCCGCCAGCCTCAGTATGGCTGTGAAATTAAGCTACAGACAAGGTTTTCTGATTGCACACACTGCTCTGCGGAGGCCATTCACACTTACCAGTGAGTCGAATTGCTCTCGCGGGCAGGCAAACAGGCGTCCATTAATGGTGAGCGTCGTAAATACTGAAACATCATTAGGTTTGAGCACCACCTTTTCTGTGAACATAAAAAGCATGAGATTGCCTATTAAATCCATCTGAGATGTGCTGCGCTGCCCTAATCACACCAACAAATTGCCAGCTCGGTGAATTACCGGAACACGCAATGCGCCTGCATAAAATGCAGGGGTGAAGGGAGCTGCTGAATAAAAAATACGGTGCTTTCATATAGCCACACGGTGCCCGGGATGCCATCAGAAATGACCACACAACAGGAATTGAAACACCCAAGGATCAATTTGCCCAGATCTACTCTGCAACTCTATTCATAAAACCCGCACAACCATTTACATGACAAGTCAGTTCTTGATGGTAACAATGCCTGGCCCTTTGGAGATAGAAACATCATGGCTAGAATCATTGGAGGAGCTTCAGAGTTCTCACATGATTTTAACTTATAATTAATATATAATTTTAATATATATATATATATATAGTTGCTCCCAATTTGAAGGTAATAGTAGTAACTACTTTAAGCCCTTTTCTACAGTTTGTAAATTAGTTTGCTAAATATATATTTAACACTACGTACCAGACACTAGGGACACATAAAGAAATGATAGATGGAATAAAATATAAATGGTAGAGAGAAATAAAACATAAATTAAAAATCCCAGTCAAAACAGAGGGATAATGAATGAGTGTGCATGTGTGCATACATCCGTGTGTGTGTGTGTGTGTGTGTGTGTGTGTGTGTGTGTGTGTGTATGAGTGTATGTGTGTTAGTGACATGGGATAAGGGTCACAAGGTACAGCAGGGGAGGGAGTTAGAAAGTGTGTCAGGGAGCAGTTAAGATTTTAGATGGGACATCAAGGGACAGGCTACAACGGCACCGTCATTTAGGTGAATGCCCCATATATGGGACACCTTTGGGAAGAATGTAATAGTTAGCTATATGATCATCCTGGGTCTGGACCAATTGGGACAAAAACAGAAGGCAAGGTCTAGAGAATGCATCAATCATTGCATCCTTCATCAGTGGAATCATCTGCCTTCACACACAGCAGAGATGCTTCTCCGTTCCTAAAGGACCCCTCCGCTCAAATGGCTGTGAAGCCCTCACTGGGGAATTCATCTCCTGGCCCATTCCTGTACCCTCTCTCTGCATTGTAGGTAACCACTGCCCAACCCTGCCAGCATGGGGTCCAAGTGTTCATTTAATTCCTAACCCTCCTGGCTCAGGAGTGACTCATGGACACAGAGTGTGTCTAATTCACTCTTTTCTGTCATTGCTACATGCAGTGGTCAAGACACACAGGATGACACAAAATGACATTTCAGGTATAATATAATCAGGGGCAAGGAAAGGAATTTTAGTTCCGGGTTGGGGAATGAAGTACTCCTCATGTTATTAGACCACTTGGGCTCGCTGGCTCTATTGGGTAAGGAGAAAACTGTCATCAGTCGAAAAGAATGAGCCCTCAACTGCCTCAACTTCAGGTCTGCAGACACCCAGAGCCTTAGCCTGTCAAAGCCCATGCACCTCTCTCGGGGATCTTAGGCCCAGAGTTTTTTATGGTTTCCATGGAAAGAGTCCCAGGCTGACACATATGCCAGAGACTACAGGCACAGCTGCCTCCCATAAATCCCTTCTCTTTTTACTCCTTTTTGTGGGAACCTGTGCTATCGGGGACATTAGACACCTGAGAAGCACATCTCTTCTCAACAACATTTCTATTATTCCTGGGAGTTCACACAGCCTCTACCATCCTTCTGGGTCAGCCACGGGTGGCCTTGCTAACCCCTTGCATGGTTTTGATTGTTCAGCATGGCTTACTTCACAAAAGCCCAAGATGCTAATCCAGGCTGTTACCTCCTCCAGAGTTCATCTTGACTATGATCAGGCCTTCCCCTGAGCCGAGTTTGTCAGCCACTGCACTGATGACTTCCTTCACCGAGGCAGCTACAGGTACCCGGATGGTGGTATAGGTGTGGTCCATGCAGTAGACCTTAAACAAAACTTCAGAGACAGTTGACAATGTAAGAAAATGGTCTCAGGCATTCAGAGAAAAACCTAAGCTATATACAATAGTAGTTAGAGCTCTGTGGTCAGGGCCTTAGCAAACTCCCTGCTCAGAAGCTGTGCTTCGCTGATGACCAGGGGGTAGAGGGGCAAGGGGGTGGTGTTGCACCTTGCTCTGGGAAGCCATAAGTTTCCCACAGCCTTCCCACCCAGCAGATCTTCACAGAAGTGATAATCTTGACAACCAAGCCCTGAGAGAACCCACAGTTTTTTAAGAGGTGGTGACAACTGGGGAGAGGCAGTGTCAGTAAGGTGTGGGCAAGCATCTCAGCTCTGTCTGGATACCAGATTCCAAGAAAATAACCCATCAGGAGACCAAAGCGCACATCCAAGAGCAGTTTTGCTTTGTCTTTTGTTTGTTTGTTTGTTTGTTTTTTTGGGGGGTTGCTTTGTTTCATTGGTGGTGGTGGCTTCAAGGTGATGGTTTCCAGGGGCAGATTTTAGCCTGACTATAACTATTCCACATGTTAGATTACTCACCCTCATCAGAGCCACGGATCGGCTGGCGCTTCTGGGCCCTCTCATCGCCTGTGTTGAACTGTTGCAAAAGCACCTTGTGCTGTAAAAATAATGACAACAAGTGATGTAAGGGAGAGCGAGTGACTAACATCGCCTAACAACTTAGAGAAGATGCGTCCAGGGAGCAGTTAGAGCCACGGAATGAAACAAATAGATTCCGTGAGTATAAAGGAGACATCATCCCAATAAGCTGTGACCCAGGGCTCCTGGATGATCACAGTGTTGCCAGCTACAGTTTCGGACTCTGAGTCGCTTACCTTCTTCTGTGGGGCTTTCACGTCTTCTGAGCTACAAGAAGTAGAGAAAGCACAACGGTGAATACCATTGTACCATTGCTGCTGTTCTTTCAGTTTGCTTTACTTGTTCAGCACTTTAATCTTGTGTTGGGCAGTGATATCATACAATCCCTCTGGGCAGCCAAGGGGAGACTCCCCCATTCTAACAGTAAGAGGACAAAATGCAGGGGGGCCGCAGAGCCACTGGCTCTTGTCACAGGCAGATTCTGAGCAGACCTGAGGTTAAATCCCTGGTTCCCGGCTTTCAAAATCAATCTCCTAACTTATTTCCCAGCACTTAATCTAACAGTTTGTTAATAGCATGGCAAACCCCTAAATACACCACGAGGGCAGGAATCTTTTCAGTTAACAGTGTTAGCAGCAGAGAGTGAATTTCCCATACAGGCCACTGTCTTCAAATACACCCCAAAGCCCACAGACTATTTTATTGTTGGGCTGTCTAAGGGACCCATGTGTTTAGATCCGGGCTTGTCAAAAGACAGGTTTCTTCTCCATAGCCTGCTAACCCAGAAGGCATCTGAGTTCTCTGAACATCCAGTCTCGTTGCCACCTGTGCCTGGGACTGGTGACAAAAATCAGAACATGTCATGGCTGAGGATAGACCAGTGGTAGCCATTTTTTGCAAAGGTTTTTTTTTTTGGAAGCTATTCTAATCGTGAGGCAGGCACTCATGTGGGAAAGTGCACCCCAAAGCAAAGCCCCTCCTTACATTTGTTTGACGATCTTCTCCAGCTCTGGCAGTTGTTCCTTGAAGGCAACCATCATCCGGGCATCATCTGACACAGACACATAGAACTCCTGTAATTGGAAAAGGTCATGGTGTCTTAAGGAGAACTGAACAGAGTGTGGCCCTCTAGAGAGGAACAGAGACAGACTTTTATGCTATGCGCGTTGCTGGCACCCCCAGACTACAGTTTCATGGAGAGCAGAGGAGAGAGAGGAGGAAGGGAGAGAAGGAGGAGGAGTAAACATTTACATTGAAAATTGCTAATGAGAAAAGGTCCTGGAAATCGATAATGGTGATGCAATGACCATCAATGAATTGTATATTTTCAAATGACTAAAATAATAAATGTTATGTTGTTAACATTTTACCACAACAAAAATTAAAACAATAAACTACAAGTGAACCTTAAGGTGTTTGTGTGAAAGAACACAAGGGGCACTGTTTTGGAACAGACCGTTTTACAATCTGCACTTTAAAAGCATTTTTTTTTTTTTGCTCTTTTATCCTCAGGGAATTTTAATATTTTTTTTCTTTTTGGTTTTTTTGAGACAGGGTTTTTCTGTGTAGCTCTTGCTGTCTTAGAACTCACTCCATAGACCAGGCTGGCCTCGAACTCACTGAGAGATCTGCCTGCCTCTGCCTTCCTGGGTGCTGGGATTAAAGGCAAGTGCCACCACCCCAGGCTTAGTATTTATTTTGATATTACTTTAGTATTTTCTGTTTATTTAATATACCACCAATGTGGTAGTTAACAGTACAAATGCAGACACAGTCCTCAACACTGGGCTTGTGCCACCGTCCCATCTGATACTCTCAAAGCTGTGCCCACCACCTAGTAGCAATAGCAGCGCTCTTTCCCCTGTCTCCCAGGAGCAACAGCTTCTATCGTGGGCCATGACAACCATGGTAGTTACAGGGAGGGGCCCCAAGTCAGCACAAGGTCTCAAGCCACCATATTTCTTATTTTCAAAATCAAAACTCCTTGAATGACTCCCCCTTCTACCAAAGTCTGCTTTCTTTGATGACTCATCAAAGATTACACAAGTGAAAAGGAGGCACAATTCTTTTGGAAAGTTAATTTTAGAGCAAACAGACTGTAACTACACCATCATCTATCTGTACGAGAGGGGAGAGTGAGTACAGTTGCTCCCCTTGTCTTTGGAGAGTCATGTTCTACTGTGGCAGTTAGCTGTCATCAACAACAGTCTGGGAATACTACATGGAGAATCCCAGAAATGAATAATTCATAAAATTTAAATATTTTTATTACAGCATATGTAGTATTTTCATATCAGCTATTGTAGTTTACCTCCTAGTGTGCTGAATTGACAAATTTCCTTTTAGATAGACATGTGTAGGAAAAAAAAAAACAGTAATACACAGAACTTGGTTCTATTAACAGCGACGGTCTCTACCAATGGGTATGGGGGTACTACCTAATCTAGGGTTAAAAGCCAAAGCTCATGCTACAGTGAACCACAGGAAAGAAAGACAACTCAGCTAAAAGCAGTATTGACCAAGGAAGCGATGTCCATTCAAACTGCCTCCTGGCTGCCCTGGCAATTCCTCATTAAATCAATCTACCTCTTAAGAGCCAAAGTCACCTATCATTTGTCCTAGCAATCTTACTCCTAAGAAAGCAAATAACTAAAGACAGATCTACATGCATAAAAATGTTTGTTTACCAAGGAGGACCCTAAGAGAGACATACATGGTCCCCTGGAGAAGGGGAAAGGGTCAAGATCCCCTGAGCAAATTGAGAGCACGGGAAGAGGGGGGAGGGAGCTACGAGAATGAGAAGGGAAGAAGAGGAAGGATGCAGAGGACATGAGGGAGCAGAAAGGTTGAGTCAGGGGAATAATAGAAGATAGGGTATGTGATAGGTAGGGTTTTAGTTGTGGCGGGGTGTTAGGGGAGGACGGGAGGGAGAAGGGAACTGGGATTGTCATGTAAAACAATCTTGTTTCTAATTCAAATGAAAAATGATAAAAAAATAAAAATAAAAATAAAATAAAAAATAAAAAAATGTTTGTTTACAATTTTTCTAGGAAGGAGAAAATGGAACAATATGGGTGCAGGTAAATGCATTTGTGGATAGCTGCTGATTGATCATCAGAACTTTTTATTACAAAGATCATACTGACATGGAAAAATCTTTACAGAGTTAAGCAGAAAGAGCAGCCCGAAAAATGTTGGATGCTAATGTGATTACACATCTTTCAAACATGCAAAGAAGGAGAGCAGACAAGAATACATTGCAATGCCACCACTCAATGAATTAGAGTGGCAGGATAATGGATGATGTTTTTCTTTTATAAAAGTACATCTCTGATGGTGGACAGGGTAACAAAGTCTAGAATTGGCAATTACGGCATCTCTATAAAATCTGCTGTGCACCCCTGTGTTATAGGATAAAGGGGTATCTTGGAGTGGATGACCCCCATGTACCTCCAGGAAAGCCATGGCCACATCATCTTCTTGGAGGAGGTCCCCATACATGGCAGCCCACTGCAGAACCAAGCGGATGACACGCCTCTTGTTGTTGAGGGCATAGTCCATTCTTTCCTGTTCCGTACCTTGAGAAGGCTGTGCATGGTAAGTGCCAAGGAGTCAAGGAAACCACAGAGCCACTTCCCACCCACTTCCAACCCACTTCGGTGTGCTACTTGCAATGCAGAGAATGACAGATCCCAGCTTCAGGCTGACACAATTTCCCTTGTTGATCCTCAAGGAGATTCCCCATTATAGGGTCTGAAGCACACACACACAGTCTCTTGGAGCCTCCTGCTCAATTTTACCTGCCTGAAAGTAAGACTATAGACGAATGTGTTGACAAAGATTCCTGTAGGTCAGCTCTCATTCCCCCTGCTTGTTCTCTACCCTGCCCTTAGCCTCTCAGGATAGTAATGTGATTTCCCATTGCTTATATCTGGGTACCTTTATCCTGTTGGGCCCCATAATTCTACCCACATCTTTATGACCCCCTTCTTTATATGAATTTCAATTTAACTCTTTTGTGTGAGTACCCTGTCCTGCCAGGACCATGATTATATGAACAAGAAAGATGGAAATAGATAAACCTACTAGGTATTAGGGAGAGATCCGTACACAGTCCACCCTTGGCAAGGGTTCCAGACCCTCCTTATACCCCATACCTCCTTCTCTTACCTAGAGCCACATCCTATTTCATCGTCAACTTGTGCACACATGGCCAACCATCTTAAGTATAAGCCCTATGAGGCTTGGGCTGATGTTGTCTATCCTGTGTTCTTACCACGTCTAGTGCCATGACTTCCATTTCAAATTTTTATTTATTCATAATGGAACTCAACACTTAGTTGAGTGCCTACCACATAACAAAAGTAAGGGGTCACGCTGTCATAGACCTTCCATGACGACAATCCAAGTATTCTAGATTAGACACACTTTTCCTTTTTTATTGTTTTATACTAGCTCATGTCATAATCACCTAGTCCATAAAACAACTCAGTATTTATAGTTGATACTATAAAATATACAAAAAGGACCCCAGTGAAGCTCTACGTTACCACCTGATGGCAACACTGTTGTCTCTTTTCTAAAGGTGAGCAGACCAACACAAAAGGAACACAAAGGGCTATGACGACCTAGCGAGAGGGCACAGCCGGTTCTGAGTCCAAGACTCCGGACTCCAGATAGTTTTGTTCCCACTGTACCACATTCCTGAGCCTCGTAGCAAGGAACAAGACCACCCACGTCTTAGCTGATGGCCATGGCTTAAAAGGCACAGTAGAAAACTGTCTTGTGGCAGTGCCTTACTCCAGAGCTAAGCCAGAAAGAGCCTTTCGGAGAGAACTATAAATAATCATGACCAAGGTAAATGACAGAACCTTAAAGCAAAGGTTTACTGCATGTAAATGGGTTGCAAAATGGCTTTCATAAATTGAGCACGAGATTCATAAAAAAGAAAATTGCTCAAGCTGTATTGCTACAATTCTCTCTGAGCTTACAATAAAAAGAGGGAAGACAGATCACTTTATGTGAAAATTATTTCTTTTCTGATTAACCCTTTGGTCTCTTGCTTCTATATATGCATAACTCAGTTTTTCTTTCTTAAGAATTACAACACTGGTTATAAAGTTTTTCGACCACTGCGTACGGTAGGCATCAGCACTATGGGGGTTGACTGAAACACAGGTACGGGGTGGCTCAGCAGAGACCTGGAGAATCTATGCGTGAGTCCTTTGGTTCCCACTGTCTGTTGCTTTGATTTGGAGTGAGTCATTGGGAACTACACACTTGTGTTAGCTCACCTGTGGAATCAGGTGAGTGGAGACAACTTCCAGCTTTGCTTCAGATATATTTAATAACACCAGTGTAAAGTTGATCCAAAGAGAATTAGGGACCACAAACGAACACAACAAAACTAAGCTATCTTCTCATGGTCTCTTTAGCTTAATTTTATAGTAACTTGTGTGTCATGTGGCGTTATAGTTTCGATATGGTATTTCCTGTATAGGTTTTAATTCTTCAATGCAACAATTCCACAAGGTGATGTCTTTAAGGGACATTAATGCTATTGTTGGGAGACTATATTAGTTCTTAGGAATGGATTGGCTCTTTCTAGCATGGATCATTGTAGCGCATGTGGCCTCCTTTCTTGGCTCTCTCTTTTATATGCCCATTTGCCCTTCTGCTTTGAGCCTTCAGCAGACACTGAGCAGATGTGGCCACCTTGAACTTCCAGCCTCCAGGACTGTGAGCTAATACAGCTCTTTTCTTTGTAACTGGTCCAGTGTCTGCTGTTCTAGTGCAATGACAAAATAAATTGAGACATATGGAAACTTGGTTTAGATCAGACTTTGGAAAGTACTATTTTAAAATTTCATTTCTGGGGTCAGCAGGACAACATAAGAATGGCTAAGATGGAGGCAGGGGTGTGGGGTTTGGATAGCCTTGGTAAGTATGAAGTAGTAAAATTATGAAATCTTAATAGACTGTCTTTTAAAACCCCTTCTATGCCAGGCTTACTCTGAGCTCACTCTCTATGCCAGCTATCTTGACTTCAAGTTGTACTACAGCGTATGTACTTCATTCTTTCCCCCAACCCAGGCTTCCCTCTATCCACTTTGCTAGAACTCAATGACAATGTCTATGAAAAACATCTTTTTGATGGCCCTATTCTGTGAAAATGTGCGTATATTCTTGAACATGTTACGTCACCTTTAAAAGACTATCACACTGTGCCCTGACTAACTATACAGACTAGAGTCTTTAAAAAGATTTCATTGTACATGGGGTATGATTCCAAATCATTGGAAGATGGTGACATGATACAAAGGAAATGGAGCCTCTACTGAGTTCATGCACAGAGTTGGGGCCCTTGTCCTAGATTTAGGACAATCTCCTCAAGATGGAATGAGGAAAGTGTTGATTTGCTTCTAAAAAAGATTTGTTTTTATTTCATTTGTATGTGTTTTACTTGCATGTTAGTGCATCATGTGCTTGAAGTGCACACAGAGGTCAGAAGATGGATTGGATTCCCTGAAACTCAAGTTACAAATGATTATGGGCCACCATGTGGGTGCTGTGAAACAAACTCAATTGCTCAGCAAGAACAACAGATGCCTTTAATCATTGAGCCATCTACCTCTCCAGCCCCTTGACTTGGTTTTTAAGGGGCAAATTATTTAATGACCTATTAAAGAAAATTCCAAATATTTTGCAGATACCTGGACAAAGAAACCAATCAGACTGAGTTACTCATTAATAAAGATACTCCATAGAATAAGACCCAGTCCTTGGTGGTAGGGATTAAATGGACCTAGGTCCTATCTCTTAGAATATTGCATTGTACAGATGTGTTGAAATGAAAGAGAGAGGAGACTCTTAGTTATGACATTGAAATGGTCTGAAAGTCCAAATAGGTATCAAGGGTATTTAATCCTAATTATTCAGGTTATTGTCACTAAGACTGAGGAAGCAGGGCAAATCCTCACGTGATGGTTGGGCAGAACCAGCAGTTTACCTGTGGTTAACCTTCAAGGTCTATACTGTCCCTGTATGTCAGCACAAAGGTTTTTCTTGGCCTCTGTTGATGTTGAAATCTAGTTTTATTTTTAGTTTTGTTTGTGTTTTTGTTGCAATAAATGACAGAATACAGAGTTGGGCAACTTCATATGATAATGTTTCAAGCATATGTAGAAGTTTACATTTATAAAACATCTTCAGTATGCTCACATAACATACACATATAATGTTCCCTACAAATCTAGGAGGAAATATTTAAAGATAAAAAAACCTAGCCAGGCAGTGGTGGGGCTCACCTTTAATCCCAGCACTCGGGTAGCAGAGAGAGGCAGATCTCTGTGAGTTAGAGGCCAGCCTGGTCTACAAAGTACACAGAGAAACCCTGTCTGGAAAAACCAAAGACCAAACCAAACCAAAACAAAAAACAATAACCCTAAAGTTCTGGGGGAGGAGATATATTGCCCAAATGCCTTAGAAGGAAACAGCAGGGCTTACAAATCCAGACAGGGTTCTTTTCATGCTCACTGTCCCAAACAGTGGCCACAGGGCCTCTATATTAATACTTGTTTTAAGTTAGTAAAAATAATTTCATTTGGGAAGCGAATTTTTTTCATGGTTTGTTTTCTTGTTTGTTTGTTTTTTACTTTTTTTAAAATTTTATGTGCATTGGTGTTTTGCCGGCACGTGTGTTGTGTGAGGGTGTCCCGTCCCTTGGAACTCGAGTTAAAGACAGTTTTGAGGTGTTATGTGGGTGCTGGGAATTAAACCCAGGTCCTCTAGAAGAAGAACCTGTGTTCTTAATCTCCAAGCCATCTCCCCAGCTCCAAGGGAAACAAAATTCTTGATGTGAGAGTCCTCTGGTCATCATCATTGTCATTGTCATCCTCCTCCTCTTTGCCCTTCTGTTTTCTTCTTCTCTCACCTCTCAATTCTAATTTCCTAGAGTCATCTCTAGCATGAGCCACCCAGAAGACAGGACTGTCCTAAACTAGGGAAGAAAATGGGGAGGGTTCCTCCTTTTCTCATGAAAAGTAAGGTTATTCTCCCCCACACCCCATAGGAAAATAACCGATTTTTTATTTCAGTCTGGCCTTTTCTCTCACAGATGATATATTCATGAAACTCAGTTGGGTTAATATCATCTTTATAGTTAAGTCTCTCTTCCTGTGCTCAAAGCTTCTGCCCCTTCATAGGCAACACCCTGAATGTCTGTGAATTTGTGTGTGTGTGTGTGTGTGTGTGTGTGTGTGTGTGTGCATTCACACACATGCACATATCCATGTAAAGATCAGAGGTTGGTGGTAAACGCCTTCCTTGGTCACTCTCCCGTCTTGTATATTTATTTCTCTTGAGACAGGGTCTGTAACTGAACATGGCACTCATCAAATAGCTAGACTGTCTGGCCAGCAAGCACCATAGATCTGCCTATTTCTCACCCTTCCTCTGTTGCTAGTTTACAAATCATACCTGGCTTTTGCATGGGTTCTAGGGATCTGAACTTAGCCCTTCTGGGCACATAGTAGGCACGTTGTTAGTGCAGCCATCTCCCCAGGGCTCTGGAATTAGTTTCTTAAGGGACACAGAGAAGAC